GGTTAATACTCAAAGATGATACGATACACCACCACAAGACTCATCTTTTTTTCTGCTTACTTTTTTGCAGTTGAAAACCGCACAACAAGGCATAATTTCTAATATATTTCGTGTTTCTTAGAGACAACCATGACAACCAATCATGACAACGGATCGAACGATTCTGACAACAAATGTGCCAAAATGTTGTATATCTAGTCATCATGTTGGTTAGCGCGCGATGTCTGAGCGGCACTTCCACTGTATTTTCTATTCCGTGGTCTCAGCCTTCCTCGTGCATCCATTTGTGCAAACTGTACAAATATCCAACTGATAGTTTTTCGATTATACAGACAAATGCGAAAGGAGACTTTTTTTGTAAGTAATATTTTGGTATTATGGAATATTTTTATCTTAATAACATTATACATAAACCAGTTTCCGCGAGAGATGTCGCCCAGTTACCAGAGTAGAAAGTAGCCTAGGTTCGTGTTTTTCCAGACAATAATCCATCTTTAAGTCCAATTTCATTCAGATCCGTTCAGTAATTTTTACTTGAAAGGGTAACAAACGTACAATATTTCGCGTTAATAATATAATTAGGATATTCGAGAATAGTTTACAGTGATTTCATTTTAAGTACAAATATGAATAACAAAAAAATACTCGAATGTGTATATGTCCATACGTTATCATATCGAAACAATGTGCTAAATAAACCTACATACATATAATATTTATATACTTATAAACATGTTTATAATTTTATATTTTATTTGATTTGATATATTATTATTGTAGGCGTATGTTTCCGTTGCGTTGGACACGAAAAATCACCAAAATGGTTACCTAATTCATGAGTTTGATAGTGACACGCTGACCCGCGCCTGTGTGGGTGTTATTAATTGTATTATCTTATTAGAGTAGTGTTGATACCTTCGCCATCGGGACGGTATATTGGTGTCCTATGTCATCTCACAGATAAGCCATTAAAATTTGACATTTCCTACCAAAAAAAAAATACAATAAAAACGGTATTAGGTACGTGAGACAAGCCAAAAATGTATGTCAACTCTATTCTAATTTTTGACAAATATCCACTGTTTGATCATTCATTCATCATCATTAGGACACCACAATCCCATAGAGTTGGAACGCAGGATTTCATATCCCAAAGTCCATCCGGAGGACACGGTAGAGCATTACGTTGGCGGTGTGCTTGGGCTGAGCATGAATGAGCATGAGCTGAATAAGATACCACAGCCTCGGCTAAAAGCAGGTAAAGAAACGGGAGATTTTTACTCAGTAAGAGTCTGACACTCCCTCTCGCTTCACCCTGAGAGAAGACATTATATCATTTTCCCTTCATAAAATAAAAACACTACATAGTATTTCGAAATTAGTCCATTACGTGTTTAGTTGTCAGTGAGCAGTTAAGTTGTAATTTCCTCTCCGTTATATTAGCAACAAGGTTATATTTATTATTGTAACACTTTCACTCTGACAATAGACGCTGCGATGGGAAGGTCACGGGTTCAATTTAGTCGGCTGTTGTTCTTATCGTACTCGTGTGATCATAAATGGGTACACTGCTATAATAAAAATGTCCTAATGAATCTGTTAGTTTCATAATTATCTTATTGTGTATTCGATGTTTTCAAACGAGGCTACAGACCAAGGGACGTTATATCGTCACAGATTACTGAATAGTTACATCGTTACCTGGCTTTTTAGATTGATAATATTTGTGACTGATGTAAACGTTTAGCTTATTAAAACATCTAGAAGTCACAAATGTTAAAAACAACTAACACCCGGTTTCTGAAAGGCTTGTCAACGCTAAAATTAACTAATCTCCTGTTAAATCTCTTGTCAAGTCATCTGATTGGTTGTTGATAATTCAGTCAACCAATCAGATGACTTGACAAGTTAACATTGATCGGCCTTTCGGAAACTGGGGGTAAGTATTATAGTTTAGGTAGACACTGAATATAAATGTTGACTATAGTGCCAACATACGACCAACTTTAATAATAAAGATTGTTCCACTCTGTCAACCATCGAGTAATAAAATCCATCCTGTCATTAATACGATGCTTAATTACCTTGTTAGTAGGAACAATATGTTAATTTTTCACGTAGAATCATCGACTTATGTATTACTAGCTACCCTAGCTACGGGTGCAGTGCCGTTACTAAATTTCTCAACTATATAAATGATACAAACCTTCCTCTTCAATCAATATATCTATTAAAAAACCAGCATCAAAACCCGTAGCGTAGTTTTTAAGATTTAAGCGTACAAAGGGATATATAGGGAGAAGAAATTCGACTTTGTTTTATACTATTAAGGTAGACTGTAACTGTAAACAAAGCTGAAAGTACCTACCTCGTGAAAGGAACTATATTTGATGTAGTACTACATCGTGGACTCGTGCCTTCGTGCTCGGGCCATAGTATTAAGCTGAGCTCCAGCCTTTTGCGCTGCGTCGCACTATGGGCTTTTTGTTTGTGTACCTGTATGCTTGTTATATGTCGTGGCGTAATATATGGTTTTTCTTTCTTTCAAATATTTCTTCATCATAGTATTTCTCATAACTATACTATATTTACACATTTATACTATACTTCTAATTGTTTATTAAAAGACTGAAAATACAAATTGCAAGTATGACACATAGTCTTCGGGTTTCTAAATAAGAATCTCGGCTAAATAGGACGCCTACTTAGAATGGAAAGACGTCGGTGGGTTCGTCACCTAATTAAATATTGCCTCGTTTAGAGTACTGCGTGAAGATGTTTCGTGTTGGTATACCTAGCTCATGATGCGTGACCGCCAGTAACCTCAGCATCGCGGGCCGCCGCGCTCATCTAAACTAATTAAAACAAGGACGAAACGAATTATTAATATCTAGCAATCCGCGTCTAGGTTTGAGATGATTTGTTTAACTAGCAAAACAGAAGGAAAATAGTTTTCTTAGCCTAGCCGCGGCACGATTGGGTTCGGCTCGACCGGAGTGATGCCACGGCCCCACAGAAAACCGGCGTGAAACAACCACAGCGTTGCGTTTCGTCGTGTGAGTGAGGTTGCCGTAGGCCCGATCCCTACTCTTCCCAATCTGTAAATATCCGCAACCCTTATCTCCAAAAGGCCGGCAACGCACTCGTAACTCCTTTGGTGTTGCGGGTGTCCACGAACGGCACCGATTGCTTACCGTCAGGTAATCTGTATGCTAGTTTACCGACTTATGTCATAATTTTTTTTATAACAAGTTAACGTTCAATTTTTTTGATACTAAAGTCAAAAACAAATGCAACTACAATTAAATAATAAAAAATGTTATAAGTGCGACGTGAAGTATAGTTACCTACTACATAATTAAAAACAAACAATATGCAAATACCATTCAACTGCTCCATTCAGGGCCATTTTAGGCACACATACCACAGTTCTATGGACGAGGTTTCAAGGAATTTTATCATATTTAAGCAAATTTATAATTGTTTCGGAGAAGCACTTCTTCTGACGCAACAAAGCGCAGCCGATTTCATCGCAGACAATCTAGATCTGCAGTAGATAAATCGTTGTACCGATGAATAGTTTAAAATATTGCATAGATGGGCCAGAATACGTTCTTAATCATTATTACATGCGGCTAATTTAGGTGGATCACGACCTATAGACATACATAACTTACATCCTATTTCGAAGCCTTATAAAAAAAGTCACCATGGAGTTTCTTGCTCGTTCTTCTCCATCGGAATCTACACTTTCGAACTAGCAAATAGATTCACTAAAAGGGGTACTTGTTACTGACACTTTATGACTATGATCAAAGATGTCAGTCAGTCTCTAAAATAACTTAGATGTGTCATGTGGTCTTTCCTGAACTCTCGCTAAAAACAGAGACTTAATTTCAACATTGGACTGTTTTCCAGCTGCTGAGTCAAATTCTTTAATACGCTGCACTTCAACCATAACTAATCTAGATTTATCCTGTTTTATCTAGTGCGTGCATCCTTATTAAGTGCTTGTGCCCTTAAAGGAAGTTAATACGTATTTCCTTAACGTTTTGTTATCATAGCTCAGGTGGTTGCTCCCTGGCGCCCGATAACATTATCTGTGCCGCTCTGTCTTGTAACAAGCGAAGTACTACGGTCACCTATATTTAAATATCTTGTATGTGATTTGTCCTGTCATGTTTGTGTACAAACAATTCAACTATTTCTCTACTATAAACGACGCGGACACAGGAAGCAGTTTGCATGCAACTTTAACAATTCCTTTATGTCTTCTACTCCTCCTTTTGTGTCTATCAGCAGCAGTGGGCACTTATAGACTGATGATGATGATGATGATGAAGAGAATGTTTCTCAATGCGGGTTGGCGATTTCAAATTTATAATTAGAAATTATAAGTCCAGGTTTCCTTGCGATGTTTACTTTCACCGTATGTCAGTCTCGGAAAAAGTCACTTTGGTACTTGACAGGTTTCGAACCCGTATATCAAAACATTCTCTTATGACAATTGTAATATATGGAGTACCTCCGAAAAAAAATGTCGCTCCTAAAATAATAATTCTAGTTATCAACATTTCTGCCGGGGAGGAGAAATAACAGGGAGGTTTATTAATCAAAATAATGGTAACAGTTGTTGAATCTATACCCTATATACATACATATATACAAGTAAACACATATTAACAAAAACGTGAACGATTTACGTGAATGATTCCATAAATGATTAACTCACGCTAATTTTAAACTCAAGTTTACAAACAGAGTAACAACAAAAGAATAATAACAATATATCATCACTTGACCTTCTGTTACAACTGCAATACGCACCTATTGTTCGTTAACTTCAATTATAAATATAATGTGGATAAATTAAATACACCGTCTGTCAACACAATTAGTTGCTAATCGAAAGTAATCGAAATGATCCAGGTTATAGATAGTTTATCAAGTTTTATCTAAGTGTAAGGGACTGAATGGTGTACATTTCATTGATAGTTTAGTGCTTGTGTCATGAATGTGCGTGTTTCCTATTGTTTTAATGATGGAAGCTGAAAAGTTTCATGTGTTGTTTACTCAGTGGGAGAGCATAAGCAAAGCGTTTATAATAAGGTATGTTCTTTATCCATTTTGTTAAAAGAAAATAATATGTTAAAAGCCAGGGAATATACATATAATGCACTCTGTTGTCGTTGCCTGGTTGCCATAGTTATTTATTGATGAGTGAAATTAAAACTGTCTTGTCTTACTATACCTAGTAATAATATTTTTTGTCCCTGGTAATAATTACTCCAGCACTTATTTAACGTTAAAATTAAAGAATAATATGGTGTAATTCATTGACTGTTTCGTGGCCTTTGTAGCCCTAAGCTTAAGCACGCTGTTTGTGGTAGATTAGGGATGATGAAAGAATAGTCAAAAATAATATGTTTTTTGACGCAAATAATAGGTTTTTTTATTATATTCGTACGAGAGATTACAGTTCATTGACGTCATGAATTGTGTGTCATACCATAATAAGCTAGGAGTTAATGCTTAGTCACTTAATGAAGACGTCCATCGTTTCATTAGGCATCTAATTATCATTTTAATAAATTTATAAGTTAAAATAATTCATTGTTAAATTACAATAACTAAGCAGTTTCCAAGCTTCGTAATGATGTCATTTACCATTTTTCTCGATCATGTTTTTGAATTTTTCTTTTTTTTTTTGGAAAACCTTACTCAATGCTTTATGTCCTGTTTCTTATTCTGACATCTGTTTTATACCAAATTGCAACGAAATCTGTTCATTGGTTTCAGAGAGAAAGCGCAAAAAACAGACAAACTAAGCTTTATAATATAAGAAGGGATAGCAGAATGTATAATCACATTTGACATTATATACATCATACACTACAGAATCCTTCTAATCTTACTTATATTATAAAAGCTAAAGTTTGTGAGAATTGTTTTGATGTATGTTTGTATGATTTGACTGCACGGTTGGCTGTGCAACTAGCTGCGGCTCAACATATCGCGGGTTCGATTCCCGCACGGAACAATTCTTTGTGTGATCCACAAATTGTTCTTCCGGGTCTGGGCGTCATGTGCATGTGAAATTGTATGTTTGTAAACACACCCTCGACACAGGAGAGAATCCTAGTATGGGGCAACGTTTTTAAAAAAGAAAAGGAAGAAATGATTGGCTTGAAATTTGGTATTTAGATACTGATACGCCTTTTTTGTGACGGGAAAATCATTAAATGAATTCTCTTTCGCCTTAGAGTCTGCTCTTACTGACTTAAAGCCCCCCAGTACCTTCTCCTGCGTTAGGCTGCGGTACCTTATTGTGTTAGCCCCGGCTGAACATAGCCTACCCTGGACCACATAGGCTTCTTTTTATCAACATACAAGCAGACGGAGGCTAGTATACAAATACTTTCCATCAAATTACACATTATAAGTGATTATTGGCAGCAGGTACCGACATGTTTTCTTTCACCATAAACAGTTTCCCGCATGGCTCGTTTGATAAGCGTATCTTGGTTGCAAATCGCCGCGTTATCATCAACAATTAACAGTGTTAGAGCTGACGTATCATGCTACACAACTACTCCATAGATTACACTAGTTTATTTTATTAGATTAGTTTTAGTAATTGGAATACAATGGGATAGGCAGAGGTCTTTGATGATTCAATCGTGTTTCGCCTGTTTTTATTCGGCTCATTCTTGGTCTTCCTCCAGTTTAATCACGAGCTCAGATCTCTCACGGGCAACGCAAAGGCCGAATTAGATCTAGGTTTTGTGCAGAAGCTATAATACAAGTGGCTACAAATAAATCTTATATAATATAAAGATTTTTGAGTATTTAATTAGAAAAGTCTCAAATGTTCAGTGTTACAGTTTCCTTTTAGTAAGATGCATACCTGATTGCTTGCACCTCCTGTTTCTGTTTACTCTTCTTTGCATCACCCAGAGGTTAGATTGGTAGATAATACCTATGTACAAATTAAACGAAAAAAACTTAAATAAATAAATAAATGCCTGCGACTCAAATATATAACCAATAAGTGACTGCACAGTTGACGCTGGTTCGCTTTCCGCACGGAAAAATTGTGTGATCTACAAATCTCAAATTATATACGCACTCATGCATGACACACTTTAAAATCCTAGTGTAGTGTAGGGAAACGCTTAAAAAATCTTTAAGTATACAAAAATCTAAAAAATGAATAACTACATGTAAAAAAACTAAACAATTCTAAAAATAATTCTTCCTTGTTAGCTTTTGTCATCAAATCGGTTAATTTGAGTCATATAATTGGCCACAGTGTACAAAATACACTTTTTTGTATAAAACAATTTGTTCTGTAAACTTCTGTATTGTGCGAGTAATGCTTTTCGGGTGAATGCTGCAGTACCTAAGTAGGTAGCTAGTGGTACTGTCAAAATGTCGCAACGCACCGTTTTTTTTTTCACTATGTCGCAAGCAACCAAGCGTAAACTGTTTGGTGATCAGAACCATTTTGGCATTGTACTGCTGTTAACTCGAAAATGTATTTCGTGAAATTAATTTCGGTGATCAAAAGATGTGAGTCTGTGTGTGTGTGTTTTTTTTTTGCTGTTCGATGTGTGAAAGATTTTGTATCGTGAAATGTGTCTTTTAAGTGAAGTTTAGCTTTTTGTAAATCATTTTTGATGTCTGATCTGACGTTGTGGTGTCTTCGGTGACTTCTTACTTATTTTTTTTAACTGTTTAAGTTTCAGTTACAATAAACGTAGTGCATTTCTATGTACAAAATTTTAACCACGGCCCTTAGAAATTATATGTCCTTATTAAGTTTTTTTTTGAAATGAAACAAATTTTCATAATGTAAAAGAAATCATGAAATCTATTATTAAAATTCAATTCAAATATTACACTTATTGCTATTTACAATACGATTTTTATTCAATGTACTTACACCGTATTTGAATAATAATATTTTGATGCTGTACAAAAGTCTAAAACAGAAATGCTCCATAGTGAAACCTCTTTTTATTTTTAACAAACGGAATCCGAAAATACTTTGGGTAACAGTAAATTTATAGATTAAGAATGTTTTAACTCGACCTTAGTTGGAACTGAGTAATTAAAATAAATTAATTGTACAATAAAACTGTACTGCGCGTACACGCGTGCGTTTCAAATAACAAATATTTGAAGGCTACTCTACCTACCCTACTAGCGCACAACGTAATTTATATTATAGCTTATGAATATACGCATTCTTCTGTATTCTTAACTATTTATTTCAATAAAAACAACAGGGCTATTTAGACGTGAAAATTATAATATTTGCTTTTGAAACATTCGTTTTAGACGACAGTTTCATCCGCGTTATAGACACATAATGGTGTCTATGTATAAATCTAGACTATAATCTGTTTCTAGTGTTTTTGTGTGAAATAGTGATAAACAAACATAAATCTATCCTCACAACCTGTATATTTTACTTAATATTATTGGGATATCATCATCATCATCATATCATATCAGCCACAGGACGTCCACTGCTGAACATAGGCCTCCCCCATTGACTTCCAGATAGGCCGGTTGGAAGCGACCTGCATCCAGCGGCTTCCTGCGACCTTAATCAGGTCGTCTGTCCACCTTGCGGGTGGACGTCCTATTATTGGGATATATAGACCTTAATTTAATACACACCTAATACATCTCATAATCGACCACCTAAACCTGTCTGTTCACAATAATCTCAAAAACTACTTAACTAATATTCATGCGGTTTTCAACAATGGATTTTGCGGAAGATTTTAAGTACAGCGGGCGAAGCTGCGGACGGGAACGTAGTTATCAAAGAGTCACACGCACAAAGATAACATGTCTTAATTAATTAAGAAAAATTAGGTACACGTGAAATTAAACAGTGGCGGCATATCATAAACTATCTAAACGTTTATCATGAACAAATATGTAACCCTTATTTAAACACATTTGTAGCGTGTACATAACGTGTTGCAATTGTTATTCTCCATATTAGTGTTAGTTAATAACTATGTATATTCTCTGACGTTCTTAATAGTTTTTTTTTGTATATCCGTTGACATATTGTGTTCATGTGTGGTTAACAAGTACATCGATGAAGGGAATGATACCCAAACCGTGGACGAGGTACCTACATATTTTTTTCACTATATTAACCTCTCATCTGCCGGTATATGAGACACAATAGAAAATACATTGTGTCTAGCGTAGATCTGTGTTCATCATATCATTTATATCACGAGTTAATAGATATTAAAGTTAGTGTGACTTATATACACCTTCCTGTTTAGATTTGTTTATAGAAACTTTTACACTAAAACATGTTAGATACAATATTAAGTACTAGTTACTCCCGCACGGTTTCACTCGCTGCTCGGCTCCATTTAATCGTAGAGTGATGTTTTATAGCCTGTAGCACTTGAATTATGGCAATCCGACCAATGGTTCCAAAGATTACCCCCTACATACAAAATTTTACCTCTTTATAATATTAGTATAGATTTTGTGAATAGAATAGGCGCTCTAATGTAATTACACATGCCGATTTCTTCCAGACGAACTTGGATGGAAATTTATATATGAATCTTAGGCATGGCTAGTCAAGGGCACCTACAATTCAATTTAAACAAAATAAAATACAACAAAAACAAAGTCAAATTTATAAAAACGAAAATACAAAATCATATAAAATCAATTTATCTTTCTTAATCATTAAACCATAGCCAAAAATAGGTTTTCCCCTACAATATGCAGATCATTCGGTATATTGTTTTATCGTCAACCTTACCGGGTTAACCATAACCACTTTTATTTGAAGTCAGTTACCTAATAAAATTGATGCGCCATTTCTTAATAGGAAATATAATTAAACTAAGTGGATTGTATGATTCTATACACGAGGTGTCCCGTTTCCGTAAAGGCCAATGTTCTCCCCAAATATTAGTTTCGTTTATAAATATTTATTTGCTGTCTGTATGTTTATCTATTTGTTTGGGAGGGTACACTTTTATTCGATAGCCTATATAGTTGTATTTATTATAGACTAGTTGTGTAACAAGAAATGGAAAATAATCATTTAATTTTTGTTTATTTGGATCTGAATATGTGAGTTTTTGAATCATGATTATTATATTCGCCTTCAGAAAAGTGTTTACCTTACCAACTTACCTAATATTATCAATTTGATTTAAATGATTTAGGATTCTATTAATGTCAAGCAGCGCAAAATTTTCATATTGTCATTGTAAAAAGTGCTGTTTTCCACGTCATGGTAAGCTTTCTGTTGACTGGGAAAATTATTGACTGATTTCTATGAGGTTGTCAACATATTTTCGTAAAAAAATTTGCCCCACCTGGGCAAGGAATTTCTCCTGTGTCGTGGATGCGGTTACAAACATACAATTTCACTTACACATCACACCCAGACCCGTAACAACAATTTGTTGATCACACAAAGTGTTGTTTGTGCGAGAATCAAACCCGTGACACGTTGTGCTGCAGGCGGTTGCCCAACCATTGCACCAACCGTGTAATCGTCAATCTCGATTCATTCATTTAATTCGTCTGCAGTAAGCAAATCTATAAGAACGTTACTTAGACAACCGGTTAATCTATAGTATTCCGCTTAAATAACTTAAATTAATGAAATACTGGTACATTACAGGAGCGTGTCCCGGTCGCCCTCCCCCTCCCCCTCCACTCGGGACTCCCGGAACACAGACAGTACCAGCGAAGCTCTCGACAATGATAAGGTATGTGCCAACTTTGAGATTATCAACATTACTGTTATACAAGAAAGATTATATGTAGCTTAGCTCACACTTAAAAGAATGGATTTTGAGGCAAATTGAATAGGAGTTCAGTATTCGGCCAAAGACAGAATGACGGACAGTTCAACTTCAACGGCCTTTTTAAGTAATAATTTAAATTAATACTTGATATTCACGTAAAATGTTTGAAAAATTTGTATGGTGGCTTAAATTTTCACTTTCCTTATTTTATTTAGTGAAATGTATGCAGTTTTTTTTCAAATAATTGAAAATAAGTCCGTCGCCTGACGTAGTCGCAAGACGCACGATCTATTGAACTTGAATCTAGAGGTTAACTTTCTAAGTTAGTTCCCGTTCTGTGAGTGAGTGGTTATCTTCAATACATGTAGTATCTGTTTTCTTCTAAATATCATGTCACATTGGACTGATTCAGTCCTGCACTATACGACTACAATAGACACCATAGTACAACTAGTATTGAACGCAGCAGTGCGTGTGTTGCAGACGAGCGAGAGTTCGGTGCAGGTGCCGTCGCACGCGGGCGGCGACTCCGCCTCCATCTCCAGCGGCGAGCTCGCCGTCACCGTCGTCAGCGCCACGCCCACGCAGAACAAGGACAACCCCAGGGTGAGAACACACCCGTGTACAGGGTACATTACACATCCACCATAACCATATCAGAAAAAAACGTCACGAAATCCACCCACCGCAAGTGCGGCTCTGTGGATGGCGAGGGTAGTTCCGCGCGCTCCTCAAACAGCCAATAGACATTACACTTAAAACTTTCGCGATGCATATTAATACTTTACCGTTTTACGGGAATTGACGCGCAAGTACATTTTATTTGCTTTTTGCTTGACGTTTCAGCAGGGTTACCTAACCTGCCATGGTCACAAGCAGATCCCGTAAGACAGTAAAGCCAATAGACCACCTAATTAGGGTCCAAAAAGGCCGATGTTTAGCCGAGGTTGCGGGACATGGGCAATTAGGTTCCATGGCCTCGGCCTGGAGCAAGAGCAGGAACGGAATGGAAATGAAAAACGAATTAAACCAATCGATTTATTTCCATTGATTAACCCATCACCATTATGAAAAAGGGGGCTCTGAGACCCATGCACGTGGTACCGAGCCCCACCTTGTTATGTAAATAATTGATACTTACCCGTCAGCTGGCGAACTCCGCGAAGGCCGGGGACGGGAGCCGCACCAAGAAGAAGAGCTGGTACAACGCCCTCTACCCCACATACAAGAGCAAGTCTGATGACTTCAAGCGGCTCTTCAAGGATTTACCTGATGATGAGCGGCTTATAGTCGGTTAGTAATCTGTTTTAATACACAACTATCTGCTAAGCTTTTACTATAGATAAGCTTTTCTTTGGTCGAATGGTCGCAAGTGCGACTGCTGAATAAGATTATTCGGTTTCGATCCATGGTCGTGAAAATAGTTACGAGTATAGCTGTTTTTATAAATTAGTCGTAGCATATTTGTACATTAAACCTACAGCGTTAAATGCCATCAGATGCACCTTTGCTTACGGTAGATTAAAAGCAAAGTAAAAGGTTATTTAATATGTATATTTTTCCTATATTTCCCGTGTGCCGGCCACACGACACAGTATAGAAATGTTTCGTCTTCAGTTTTTAAATCAGAACCGACCACCTGAATTGACAGAGTATTTGTTCTCTAAAGGGTTTTCAAGTTATGTGTTCAAGGCCCACCAAAACAAAAATCGTAGGTGGCATCATCGGTTACCATCAGCCAAAAAAATCTTACCCTAACATACAAAAACTAGCGACATCTATGCATACAAGTAATAAATAATATTACTTAAAAACCAACTTGTCTTGTTTATTTAATTTTTCTTGCTACAAGATCGCTGCAATTACCTATATTAGTAAAGTTTCGTATGAGTAACCCTAGCTACATACGGAAACGAAAGTATGTTTGTTCTTAAACCACTGAATCAATTCACAAAAAGGGTGGTACAGTGCGAAATATTGTGTTGTACTAGTTGTAATGGAGAAGATTGTATGCTTGGCGAAAATAACACTTTGAAGTATGATTGCAATACAATGCATAAAATCTACGGAGACGCAATGAAACTCAGAGGAGAATCCCTAATTAATATAAAATTACAAACAAATGCATATGGCTATATGGGTAGATAATCACAGACAAAGCCGTAGGTAATAAGCTAGGTCTACCATAAAATTAGCAATAATAATTCAAACAAAACATGCTAATTGTATCTGTATGTTTTCGTGCATGTGTTTAGATTACTCGTGCGCACTTCAGAAGGATATCCTAGCGCATGGGCGACTGTACGCCTCGCAGAACTATCTGTGTTTCTACGCCAGCATCTTCGGCTGGGAGACCACCATGACAACCAGGTGGAAGGATGTCACCGCCATCACCAAGGAGAAGACGGCACTAGTAAGTTCATTTTTATATCTTTACTAGCATGTACCGTGGGTACATGAATATGACACTAATATTTAAGTGATCCACAATTTATCAGTAAGATGACGGTACTGTAAGATCCAAGTGTATAAACGCACTTATCCCATAAGACCTCTTCTTTAAAAAAGCCTCTTTTATGATTGGGTCGTTGCTTCTCGAACCATCACGTTACGGAGTTTTGTTGTAAACAGAAACGGTTTTTATTTTTTCTATTCAAATTCAGGGGTTCCATTGTAATATAATATAGTTATTGACTTTTTTAACAGTTATGTTATAAGGGGCAAATCCCGACCAAATCTCCCAAAAAAATGCAGTGGAATACTCTACCAGTAACAAGACGCAGTGTAAACATACATATGAAAAAGTCAGCCTGACACAACAAACCAGCCCCGATATACAAACCCATAAACAGCCGGCTATGTGCTTATTCCTTTGATGTTAAGGAGTATCCATGGGTGTCTCAGATTGACATATAAAAGATACCTTTTAAATTTCTCATAGGAATGTATCTTACATCGCTTTTTTCCCAGGTGATCCCCAACGCGATCCTAGTGTGCACAGAGGGGGAGAAGAATTTCCTTACATCTTTCTCTGGACGAGACAAGGCGTACCTCATGCTGTTCCGGATCTGGCAGAATGCGCTCATGGACCAGCCGATGAGCAGTCAGGAGTTCTGGCAGTGGGTGAGTAAGGAATATGGAAATGTTTGCTTCCGACTTTAATATGACACCTGAGCCCTGTAAGTGTTCTTATAAAAGTTTACTTAATGCATAATGTACCCAGTACCAATATGTATAGGATAAAAAAGAATCATCCACGTACACCGATCCATCTAAATTCACAATGTCCGGATAGCCACAATGTATCAGATAAATTTGAATATAAAACTCACTATTAGTACTTTAATTTTCCCTATTCAAATATAAGTATCGCGGCCTTGGCCTTGAGCAGGAAAAGGAAGGGGGGGTTTTTAGCCAATAAGAGTCTGACACTCGTCTCACCCTGGGCTAGAGATGAAATTTAATAATTTGCCGTTACAAAAAAAAAGTATAGACGTTTGGATAATCACTCGATAATGTAACCACAAGGCCAATAAAGTAGTAAGTAATAGTAGATAAAAAACCAGAGAAAAAAACTTGTTTCCCCTTATCCGAACCCCTATAGTTTATTCTAATGTATTCGGAGAACCGTGCCACATATTATATTCATTCTAAATCATGCGCATTGCCGAACGATCACAAATAAATATTTACAATTTAAAAGTGAAAAACAAGCTAGCTTTGGCAATAATATAGCTCAGTGTTGCCAGGTACGAATATTTTTTCTTATTGTTGTTTATTTCACCTGTGGTGTTGTTATTGTTTTGTGTTATAATTATAATTTGCCCTTGTTGTAATAAATAGGTATACAATTCATGCTGTTTATTAATAAAATGATATGTCCATCATCATCTAGAAAACCTTAAACATCTTTTTACTAAAAAATACTACAATTAATCGCATTTTATGTAACAGAAACCACAAATAATATAATGAAACAAATACCCCAGTGTAAAGTTTGTAGCTTTTTATAAAAATGGCGACAAAAATAAAATAGTTTTATTTTTATACCTAGCAACATCAGTTTATGCACAGATTACAAATTCTAAACGATTCAAATGTGTTCCGACCTGAATACTTTGTGTTAGCTTTAGCAAATATTTCTTCTTTGTTTGAAGAATTTCTGAATTTCTGCTTAACTGATTAACATAATGTTGTACCTGTGCTACAATTCACCAGGGAAATTAGAGCTCATGTATTTGTCCTCACGTGTCTCCGCCGCGTGATCCCGTCGGCATACAGTTTAGTTGCGTGTTTTACACTCTGGAAACTTTTTTTAGCAATGTTTTAGAAAATGTTGATACGCTGGCTGGACAACCGGCTGCCGTGCAACGTGTCACAGGTTTGATGCCCACACAGAGCTCTTTGTATGATCCACAAATTTTTTTCTGAGTCTGGATGTAACGTGTATATACAATTTTATGTTTGTTAACGCTCTTACGACGAGAAAGTCCTAGTTAAAAATTGCCCATATTTTTTTAGTTGGCGCCGTAATTACCGCACAAAACATATCTGTTTGTTTATTAAACGCATACCTAGTAAAATTTAATTTCATAATTACCACGTACAATACGGGGTGTGTTATGAGGAATTGTTCGGTTTGGTCCCTGCCGCATTTTTCCCCATCGATCCCGGCGAAAATACTTTCATACCCATCGTATAGGCATGTATTGGCAATAAACTACTGCGATTTTTTTCTCATCTTTGGAATGATCTTTCGCCGGCGGTATTTCGGAACCAATACGTACCACAACCTTTCAAAAAACGTAAGCGAACTCTTTAACAACCCGGCAACGCGTCTGTGACTCCTCTGGTGGTCCATGGGCGGCGCTGATAACTTACCATCCGTCTGCTCATTTGCCTCCTAATACATAAAATCCATATTCACGTAATGTCTAGCATTACTAAATTAATGCACAAAAGAATTACATACACATTCATCTTAAATATACTAATAAATGATAAGAGATATCGTTGTTTCAATGAGAATTTATATTTTAGATTTTATTGTTTCAAACAATAGGATATTAAAGCGTAGTCCGCGATAGTCGTCTCGAACTATTTTACAAGTACTTAACATATTTGATCGATAGTTTTACATACATGTTAAATCAAAACCATATATTATGTAGTGTATGTCGTGTAATTTGTGATTTAATATATTTTTTAAATAAAACCTCATTATTTACCCCTTAATTAACAAGTTTTTATTTTTTATTTAGTAACTTGCTATGAATATCTGTGAAGTGGAATCTTGTCACTTAAGTTCGATTCAAGTATCTTCAACCGATTGATCAGAAATTTGGTCTTACGTGAAATTTTACTTATTGAACTTGTGTTTGTGGAAGGAATTGACTTATTTTGAAACATGGGTGATTCTTTGAGGTTATCATACAATGTTATCGATCGTTGTTTATTAGGTACAGCCTTAGAACAACCTGTGAGTGTTACAAACCATTACTATGTTATTAAATAACCGTTTTTGCTTCCGTAGTTCTTATTTGCTAGACTTCATTGGTGTTGATATTTTAAAAATTTTATTTCTTTCTCAATACACCTTAAACACCATTATGTAATAACTTCGTCCACTTATAAAAAGTATGCCTATGAATCATCATAGGCATACTTTTTATATATCAGGTGATACTCTGGATTAACACACATAGGCTTCACATTTGATAATGTGAAGCCTATGTGTATCCAGAGTATCACATATCTACATATATCTATACCAAATCCATCAGTTTTTTCATGTCCATCAGTTTTTTCATGAAAACATAACAAACATACATCTATATACCTAGTCTAGCCATAAATACTGTAACAAATAAAAAAAAATATTTTTTTCTATTGCAAATAACATTTATTTCTTTTACAGTATGTAAGAATACATAAATATTAAACAATTTAAAACATAAAAAGCTTATTCGAAGTGGTCTCCATTGGCTGCAATACAGTCCTTTAAACGTTCAGGCAAGTTATCAATAGAAGCACGCACTCTTTCCATGGGAAAATTCTTCACTGCCAATCGTATGGATTGTTTTAGGGAGTCCAAATTATCATGACGTTTAGAGCAAGCCCTACTCTCTAAAACTGACCATAAATCATAATCCAGCGGATTAAGATCGGGACTAGACGACGGCCAGTCTTTAGCTCTGATGAAGTCGGAAACGTTCGTTTCCAACCAAGACTGCGTGGACCGAGCTTTATGACCCGGCGCCGAGTCTTGCTGGAAGGACCAGTGTTGGTTATTGAACATGGTGTTGTTAAGGGGCTTAACGACCTTCTCAAGAATGGTATTTCGATACACGTGCCGATGTTTTGATACCTTTTTCGCAAAAGTATGGCTCAGTCACTCCTTCATAGCTAACACCCCACCAAACCATCACTGAAGTCGGATAATGCCCACGTTGCACTCTGTCGACTAATTGAGAATCTTCCTTAGAGCTGTGAGCATAAATATGGTCATTTTGTTTGTTAAAATGTTGCTCAATTGTAAAAATTTTCTCATCCGTAAACACAATTTTTCTGTGACCTCACTTTGCGTACCGCTTCAGTAGTTGTTTAGATTTTATCAACCTATTCTTTTTTAAATTATCCTTTAAAAAATGTCCAGTGCGTCTCTTATAGGCTGCAAGTCCTAAGTCGTCTTTTAAAATACGCGACATGGTTCTAGGTGCTATCTTCATCTCCCGAGATAAAATCTTTTGCTTTCGGACAGGATTTCTTCGAATTCTTTCCCTTACTGCTTTGACCACCTTTTTGTTCGAACACTACGTGGACGGCCAGATCTTTTTCTGTCACAAACAGAAAAGGTCTCGTTGTACCTATTAATAGCCCGGTACACAAACATTTGACTAATGCCAAGCGTGTGGAGAGTTTTAAAAATTGCATTTGGCTCCATACCCACTTTGTGTAATGCAATCACAGCGATTCGGTTCTCTTTATCACCCCACTCCATTTTAATATCGCAAAATATTGAACAATTTATTGGCGCCAAAATAAAAAAACACAATGAAAAATTATATAAAAATGACAGATTCCAAATTCAAATGTAATATTTTGTTTATTTTTAATTGTAACAGTATTTATGGCCAGACTATGTAATCACAAGATCTTTCACTTTTATAATATTAATAGGATAATATTCTTTTAAAAATGTAATTCTGTCTCTAGTGAGGAAACTTAAACTTTAACATTTCTAATTAAAAGTTTGAAGTCGCCAATCTGCGTTGAGCAAGTATCGCTTTTAATGCTCAAACCTTCTCCTTCTCCGTGTGAGAAGCTTATGTGCAACAGTATATATGTATACTAAAGGGCTATTATACGATGAAGATGTGTTGTGTGCACAACACAAAAGTTTAAGTTAATAAAACTACATATGTATTGTATATACATTCATTATGTATGTATTTTTTTTCTAGAGTATTCTATTGAATTTAGAGCGCAAAAATTCCAACCTATTATAATATATTCGATATTGTCAGCTAGTCCAGTTTGCTGGAAGCTCATTACAAAGTAGATGAGGTACCGCAGGCCGGGCTCCTAGTGCGCGGGACGAAGTAGCGCGACTCGCTGCGCACACGCATCCCACTAACAGTCCCTTTTAATACGATTTTGTTTTAAATAATGGACTATCTATCGCGTTTTCCTTTATTTATTTTCAATATAAGTAGTTTTTTACATATACGTAAACGGATTATTTTTATTAATTTCAGTTTTATTTTTAATTAGTGCTGAATTTATTTTGAGTGAATTAATAGCACGTGTTGTGTAAGTTTTTTTTCTTTTACTTTAGAAACATTCTAAGGTTTGATATTTTATAAGAAATGTTTTTTGAGAGGCTATAAATTGTCTAGATTGACGGTAATGAAAGTTATACAACATACGTAATTAAAAAAAATAAGTGATCCGCTCCGTCAGAATTTTTATCAACTAATAGTTTTAAAATAGCCATTTTATGTTATGTGATATAGTTACGGTTTATATATATTTTCCTGAAACTTCACGATAAATCGATGAATTGTATTTGGCTATGCAGATAAGCGTTGTGACTGATCCACTGAGTAATTAACGTAGCATACAAAATCCGACTTGAACAAGCTTAGTGATTAACTAGCGACCCGCTCCGGCTAAGAACGGGTGCACTGCTGATACTAAATTTCTTCATTATTTAATTGATACTAGCTGACCGCCCGCTAAGGTCGCGGTGGCCCGGAGTTTAAGGAGCCCGCTTCCCATGCATGAGGGTGTGGGTTCGAAACCTAGCAAGTACCAATGTGACTTTTTCCGAGTTATATGTACTTTCTATGATTATTTAGACACCACTGACAGACGGTGAAGGTAAACATCGTGAGGAAACCTGGACTTATAATTTCTAATAGTAGTAAGTTTGAAATCGCCAACCCGCATTGAGCCTTTTCAGAAGATTTTTTGAAGAGGCCTTTGCTCAGTAGTGGGCACTGAGCTGAGCTGACCGCCCCCGCTTCGCACGAGTTTTACTATCCTAACAACAAAAGGGTCAGTTTTCACTAATTTTCCCCTCTACTTTACTAATATTTTCTTTGATAAGAACCTTCTCCTGACCATAATAAATATAACAAAAAAATAATAAACTAAATTGGTCTAGTTGTTGTTGCGTTATGCGCTTACAAACACATTTTGCGATCCATTTTTATATATATGTATATGTATATAGATAGATTATCACACATCAACAAAGTTTCCTCTTCAATCACTATCTATTAAAAAACGGCATCAAAATCCATTGCGTAGTTGTAAAGATTTAAGCATTCACAGGGATATAGATATAGGGACAGAGAATGCGACTTTGTTTTAGTATAAAACTAAATATAGTGATGCTCATTCCTTCTCAGTATAAGAAGCTCGATCTTTTCTATTTCTCAAGGAGTCTGGAACTGCGATTTATTGTAAGAGGCTTACCCCTATAAAACAACATTCTACATATCATAACAAAATGAACGTTTAGTGTAACATTTATTATACCAGTAAAATATGAAGACTGTCATTAACGGGAATTGTCAGACTCCTATTAGGTATATAAACGCCTTGAAATCTATTCTAAATATCTTCTTATAATATGTACACTTTAATATTTACGAACCATCTACTACACACGTTTTTAGAGTAATTATATAAGGATGGTGAAACAGGCCCTTAATATACAAGCAGCCGCAATATCGCTTCATAGTACAAAAGAGGTTACGTTTAAGCAATATCCTTCATATCTGCAAGGCCCTCGAGTTATCTACACCAGTCTATACCAATATTATAAAGACAAAACATTTATTCCTTTGTTTCAATTGATCTGGCTCTGAACCTAGATAGCATTACCTATCAGACAGATTATCTGATGGTAAGCAATCAGCGCAGCCTATGGAAACCCGCAACACTAGAGGAGTTACGAGGACGCTGCCGGACTTTTGGGGATTAGGGTTTTGGAGATTTAGGGAATGGAGTGGGGGAAGAAAGATTTAGACTTCGGTAACCTCATGCACACGGCGAAACACAACATTATTTAATGAACATGAGAGTGAAACTGCAGGGCAAACCTAGTTGTTTATAACCATTTCTACGTTACTTGGATGTCGTCCAATACGTTTGGCAATAAGCCCGCGACAATTTTCTCTCGTCATTTTCATACAAATGTCAAACTAAATTCATTCAATACAACTTACAAATAAAACCCATTGTTACTGTGTCTCTGAAAAATATGAAACTGTGTGTTTATGTACACATATTAAAGTTGTTTATATTGTGATATCTGATAAGTGATCAGTGAGTCATTTTCTTTATTATTTTATCTTGGTACTATGAATCATTGGTCGAATTGAAATGTATGTATCATTTAATTTAAAATACTTTAATAGGTAATATTAAAACATGCATTTTTGTCCATAGATTTGTATAAGGAAACTTAAAAGAGAAATGATTTTCGCCAAGCCATGGTTTCTATATTATTTAATAGGGATGAAACATTATCATGCGTAACGAATTCCAATCATGTTTTTTTATATACGGAGATCATCTTTTGTCTTATGAGTGTGTACTATTGTCATTTAAATCTTCTTAAACAGCGTCACTCATTTTGATGTCGTTTTGGTTCTGATAGGACTCCAATATTATTTTAGTTTCTATTAATTGAATATTATTAATATTTTTTTAAGGTAAACCAATTAATTATAGGTCGCGGTCGCTTAATTGTTCTAATCATTTTTAATCTTTTTAAATAAACTTCACAATCAAATCTGCATCTCAAATTTTGACAGATGTTCTTTGTAATAACTAAGTATTAACACCACTCACACATTTATTTAAATTAACCTTAACGGGTTAAGAAAACAAGACTTATTGCAGCTCTAGTTTTCGTATTGTATAGTTTTTGCTTTTACAAAAACATCACACCTTTTAAATACATTTAGAATAAAAAAAATCTTGCGGGAATCGAATGTATCTCAGAATTGTTTCTCAGTAATCCTTCGTCCAACCACTGTCCCATCCAATATTATAACTTTGTTAAATATGTTTCAGGTGCACAGCAGTTACGGCGAGGAGTTGGGCTTCAATTCCGACGAGGAGGGATACGGTCGTGACGCGATAGACGACGTGCCACCACTGCCAAACGACACGGATCAGGTACCAACTGTTTCAGCTCAGCTCTTGGTGGTCATTATCAGATGGCCACACCATGGAGCCCAAATACCTCCCTCTAAGGAGGTTGCCTGTCGCTTGTAGGATCACAGTTAGGTCACCATAGGATGGTGTCCATGGTCCATTCCTTAATAGTTCATTTTGTTGGAATTTACCCTTCTCCTGCTTTAAGTAGGGCGAGTGGAAGTGTCAGGCTTTTACTTTTTTTTATGGAATAAGTCGGGAAACGAGCAGACGGAGTACCTGATGGTAAGCAATCAGCGCCGCCCATTGACACCCTCAAAAACAGAGGAGTTACATTGACGCATTGCCAAACTTTTGGGAATTAGGGGTTTTAGAGTATGGAGATTTAAGGATTGGGATAGGGGAAGGATCGAGCCTCCGGTAATCTCACTCACACGGCGAAACACAACGCTGTGGTTGTTTCACGCCGGTTTGTGTGAGGCCGTGGTATAACTCCGGTCGAGCCGACCCATTCGTGCCGAAGCATGGCTCTCCCACACCTGATTCCTAAATATCTCTTTTTGCTGAGGGGAGTCATCCAAAGACTTCTTCCGCTCTAAGTAGGGAGAGAGAAGAAGTGTCAGTCTCTTACTTAAACCATCTCTCGTCCATCTCCAGTCCAAGGCCGTGGTCTATCATTACGCAACCCCTTATTCCTAAATGGCTTATGTAGTTTTATCCCGAACCCTGGACTGTTATTATAAATCTATAATAATCTAGGATAATCCAGGACAACTCGTCAGTAGTTTACTTCAACTGGTAAGTAAATTCAAATTAGCTTAAAGAATTTATGTAATTATTTCCCCATTGACATGATGAATGTACTGTCTCTAGGAGTTTTTATTAATAAGGATCTATCTTTACACATGACAGTATAAGTTATGTAGATCCCGGTTTCCAGGCGTTAGGGTAGGTCCTGGCCTAGACTAGAAGCTCAAAAGCATATACAGGTCGATAGTATAGATAAAATAGTTTTTAGATGACTTACCAAAAATCTATACAATTTATCGAAATCCTTGAAAACTCTACGGTTTTCTCCTAAACTTCTTCAAAATCAAATTCAACTCTGCCAAATACATACACAAGCGACCTATCTAATTAGTTAGAAAGATGTTTTTAAACTAAACGTTTTTCCTCAATCCATCTCGGATCTGGTACACAAATATGCGATAATCCTTCCGTTTTGCCAAATGACGTGATAGCTGATAATATACAAGTTGGTATCTACAAGTTACCCATATATATCTAGGGACATTTATTTTACTACGCGATACTACTAAGAACGGCTATCTACAACAGATAACTAAATAAGACAAAACAATCAGCGAAATACCTGACTCATTCCCAGCTTAAACACCTGTGCTAAAATCTAAAAAACATAGTTTTTAAAATTCAACGTTCAACCTATAGCAACAAAGTTATTTTCAGATTGACAAAGCTTGTTCAACGTCATAAAAGCAATTTTCATTTGAAAGGAAAAACAACTCTAGTAGCTATAGATTAAGGGTTATATTACTGTAGATGGGATTACTCCTCTGTGTGGTGTGTGTATAGATAAAAATGCGATAAGTTTAGAAATACCGAAAATAAAAATCAATCGGTAATCAAGCCATCGTCACTATCAGTCGATAAGTGATAGCGTTGTAACTACACGTGTCCATCATCATGCGTATTACAAGGAAATCTAAGAAAAAAGTGAGTTTTTTTTATTTATTTCATTATTATTTTACTGCCAACATACCTACAAAAATACATTTTTGTAAAGCAATACCTAATGAATAAGGCAAATTCATTCAAAATAAAAAATATTGAAACATTTCTTATATTTTGATTGGAGAAAAAACATCGTAAAAATTTGATAAAGATATTTAGGCATAAAACTGTCATAGATTGTAACGTATAACTGGGTGTACCTACCTCGAAAATTTATCTTAACTATACAACTATAACAATATACATGTTTAGTAGTGATATCTACATCTATTCAGGAATTGATTTGCTTTTCTGTTTCCGCATTTTGGTTAATCTACTTAAGTATTTTTGTTAAAATCTTATATAAAATTCTTTTATCACAATGTCAGTTACTTTACTCCTCCAAATCGGCTTTACTGTTTTTTTTTTACAAATTTTATATGCATGATTATTCATATAAAATTTTACATTTACACATGTACATTTTACAGTGGGTCTGAGAATCGACTCCTGACTATTTCGATACTAAGAGATAAATAAATTGTAAAATCAAAATAACATTTGCCAGGTTACTGACCTGGCAAATGTTGTGTTATTGGAAAAAGTACCAATAAAAGGTAATAAATTGTGAACCTATTTGTATTTTCTAAATGGAATAAGCACTATATATATTGACACCTTATTACTGGCATATTTCCATTAACCATACTCATATAACATATAAAATATTGCCCGTTTTCTTATTAGTAGAGATCCTACAAATATGTGACGTCGCTAACCGTTAAGGTAGTCAATAAAAAAACACCCCCCCCCCCACTCCCCTAAGGGCCCCAATTAAAAAAGTTTATCCAACATGAAACGACTAAGCTCTTACATTCTTCCATCAAAAACATCTAGAAGATTAAGGTAGCAATAAATTAATTAATTGCATATCTTAAAGAAAATAAGTGAAACAACCAAAACAAAGCGAGATAATAAATTATTATCTAATTTTCCTCTTTCTAATGAGTCAGCAACCGAATTGCTGGTAATAAACACTGATTATAAATTTTAGATTCTTGTCCTACGAAATAAGTAAAAAATAAGGTATTTGTTTATAGTGGCGCCACTGTCGCTTTTAGGTAAATGTCTCTATATTTAGAAACTCTCAAAAGGAGGTCTTGTATAACCTTCTTGGCCGGTGTTTAATTTGTTTTTTGTAAGTGACCAATAATAAGCAGCTAAAGTATGTCAATTTTTAGAATTATTAATTAAACTACTAAATAGCAAATTTCAAATAAGTATTGAACCTATATGTTCTACAGATTCATGTAAACACCTAATAATTATTTAGTCCCTAAAAATTACAACAAGGAAACACTTAGTCTTAGGTTTTAAACCCTAATTATCTAATTACAAATCATAATAATATTTTGATAAAAGATAAATATCGATATATTACGAAGTATCTATATTTAGGCCCAACTTTGTCTTACATAACGATATAGTAACAGGTGTTGAAATGTATTTAATACGGAATATTTGCTATCGTAAAGATTAATAGCATAATATCAGGGTATCTCGATAACGATACAGATTACATAGTTCTTAGTAGATTGAGAGCCACGCATAACAATATTACTGACGGTCATAATCTCCCTTCGTTTATTTAACTGCTTGAAATTGCAAATAGTTTTAATCAATCATATGAATGACACTGTTTGAATTATTCGTAGAGTTAAATAGAAACGCTTCCATTGTAATACACACACTAAAATATTAGCTACCGTGATACTAAGTATCCATTTTGAAATCAGTTTTTTTTTAAATCAAAGAATCAATGAATTTAATTTTGCAAGTCGGCCATAAAACAGCAATTTTACACGTCATCATTATAAAATACTGATATACTGACGACTCTGATGTCGAAGCAAAATCAGAGGTCCGTCTTCTATAAAGTCTAGACAATGTAAGACATAAAATATAATGCGAGAGAACCTTGCAAGTTCATTCTATAGTGGTCTTTTGAGGAAAAAACCACATCTTTTAAAGTGGACCCGTTCTGAAGATCATGCTCGATGCAATAATAGAATTGTAATTTATCAAATTGTAATTTAATTTAACACTAACTACTGGTGCACCATTTGCCTCCGTGTCGAACAGTTTGTTTTTTAGCAAACCACTACTGTACCAAAAGGGTTGCAGTTGCCCCCTTTTTTGCTTAGACAAGCATTTTTATATCACTTTATTATATAAAAATCTTATCCTGATCTTAGGCAATGGAGCATGAAAATTACTATGGGAATTGGATTAAAATTAAGAGTTACAGGATGAATGTCCCAATCGACTAGTTTACCAAGCCATTTTATTTAATAGTTTAACTTGTTTAATCTGTACCATTCTGGCAGCTCTCTATTTCTGCCAGCGATTCGATTTCTTTGCGGTTCCACTTCTAACCTAACCTACTGCCGTTCTCGTAGTAACCCGGTTTTCATGTCAATTCCATCACCTTTCAACTTACAGCTTGAATGAGAAATTTAGCCATGCAATCATCCGACTAGTCATTCAGGCCCATAACAAATTACTAGGAAAAAAAATCAGAACGTACTATCACAAAAATCGTAGGCAGAATGTTTAATTTGGTCTACTATGATTCATTATTATTAACAGTATCAGAGTAATTTTCTCTAGTGCTGATACTCAGCTGATACTAACCTCAGCGACATTGTGAGTCAGATTAAACAATACAATAACGTTACACATGTATTTATTTATTTATTTGCACAAAACATTGTACATAGGCGGACTTAATAAGTATTGAGTATTGAGTATTAATGCAATGAGCATTCTCTACCAGTCTACCTTTGGGTGATGCAGAGATAATCTGGTGGCAGGTGCAAGAAGCAAGCAAATTGAGTTAAATATACCAAACATATATATAAAATTATATATGATACACTTTACATACATACATAATATATACATACATAATAATACATATTTATAAGGCAGTAAACATATATATGTCGAAGCGTCAACGCATATCAATCGATTTAGATATGGCAACTATTGTTGAGAGCGTCAAGTAATTACTTGAGGATGGTTAGCGTGGAGTAATGGCAACACTGATCCGGAAGATTAATGATACTTTGACATTTTGACAGCGAATGAGATTGACAGACGTCATATTGCGCGGGAAACACTTGGGGAAAATATCGCGGCGTTGGCGGCAGCAACAAGCGTTACTCCCCGCTAAACTTCCTGCGTTCTCAGTTATTGTGTTGTAGCTATATTCCTTAAATAATATTGTT